CGACACAATCGCCGACGTAGGCAGCGACGAGGAGGAGGATGAGGACTTTGATGGCGAGGCTGGCGACGCCGTTGAAGCCAGGCCGAAGAAGACAAATGGCACAAATGGCATCGACGATTCGAGCGAGGAGGAAGATGACGATGACGAAGACAGGCTGCGACAGGTAAGCTTGGCCACACTGGCTGGAGCATCTGCAGAAACTAACGGACATATAGGAAGGCGAAGGCTTCATCGCAGACGAGGACGAAGAAGACGAGATCGCGGAGCGCAAACGTCGGCGCAGGAAGAGGAAGAAGGACCGTCACGAGGAAGAGGCCCTAGATGACGAGGATCTGGACCTGATCGGTGTCGAGGTTGAGCGCCCGGCAGAAGAACAGGTAAGGCATACCGCGCTGAAGCGTGGACACCGCTAACATAGGGGAAGTCGAGGTTCAAGCGCCTGAAGCGTGGCCACAAGGAGCGCGTCAAGTCCCGCGGCGTCGACGACATCTTCTCCGACGACGAAGTAAACGAAGACTACGACGAGCCGCGCGGGCGCCTTGGCGACGAATTCGACGACTTTATTGAGGACGACAAGTTCGAAGACGAGATCGAAGACGACCGCGACGTCACACAACCAGGCATAAACCTGATCACAAAGGGACTGCAAGCTGCAGGTCTGGACGAGGGAGCAGAAGAAGACTACAGGGCTGCCTTTGGTGATGGCACAGATTACGACTGGGCGCTGGAGATGCAAGAGGCGGAAGAGGACGAGCAAGCTGGTGAAGGACGTGAGCTTCAACTCAAGGATGTCTTCGAGCCATCGCAACTACAGGAGCGCATGCTTACGGATGAGGACAACGTCATCCGTGAGACCGACATTCCCGAGCGACTGCAGCTAGCCCGGAGGTCCTTCAAGGAGATCGAGCTCACACCAGAAGTCATGCAAGCACGCTTGACAGAAGAGGCCACCTGGATCAGCAACATGCTGTGGCCAAAGAAGGGCCTCCCCCGCTACTTTCTACAACCTTTCGAGAAGGCTGTGCGCAAGGTCCTGGAGTTTATCAATCTCGAAGACTACGAAGTGCCCTTCATCTTCAACCACCGCAAAGACTACCTTATCCACGCCCCAAGCGATAACGACGATTACGACGACATAGACAACCCGCCGCCCATGGATGCGCGACCAGAGCGCTTGCTGAACCAGGCCGATCTGTGGGAAGTATTCGAATTCGACCTCAAGTTCAGGGCCTTTGCAGAGAAGCGCGACGCCCTCAAGCAAAACTACGAGAACCTGAAGAGCGTATACTCTGACATCATTGATCCCGAGATCGAGGAGTTGGCCGCCAAGGCCATTACTATCGAAGAAATCCAGGAACTTCAAGATTACCTGCACTACAAGTACTCGCAAGAGATCAACGAGGTCCGACAAGAAGTGAACGGAACACAGAAGCGCGCCAACAACGCGCGAAGCTTCTTCGATAAGTTGAGGAGCGGCAAAGCCAACCAACTCGTCAAAGCGATCGGTATCACACCCGAGGACTTTGCGAAGAAGGTTGATGGGTCGAACCGAGGCGCGCATTCAATTGAGGACCCGCCATACAAGGTTGAAGAGCTCGCCGACCAGATGGCTGACGCTCCAGAGACTGGCGCCACTCTTCTCAGGTCTACGAAGCTCTTGTATGTTCAGGATTTGCAAATGTGCTCACGCCTCCGTCGATACTTGCGTGGTAGCTTCTACCAGAACGCCCAGATCGACTGCATTCGCACTGACAAGGGCATGCGAAAGATTACAGAGGACCACCCCTACTACGAGTTCAAGTACCTACGTGGCGTTACATTCTCCGATCTTCAAGGTCGACCGGATCTCTTTTTGAAGATGTTGAAGGCCGAGGCGGAAGGTCTTGTACAGGTCCGAATCTCCATGGGCAACTACAGGAACTTCAAGACAAAGCTTGAAGAAAAGATCATCTCCGAAGGTGTCAGTGAAGTCTCTGACACTTGGAACGCCCTCCGTAGGGAACTACTCGGCGCGGCGCTAGACAAGCTACAGATTGTCATCGCCAATGGTGTCAAAGAAACTCTGCGTGCTCGTTGTGAGGATGAACTCGCCGCATCAGCAAGAGAGAACTACTACAACAAGCTTGATCAAGCGCCCTACAAGCTAAAGAGTGCACCTCTCGGATCTGTACCCAACGTTCTCTGCCTGACCAACGGTAAAGGCCAACGTGGAGACGCGATCATGTGGGCTTACGTCGAGAACGATGGGCGGGTACTTGAGCACGGCCGCTTGGTGGAGATGCGCCTTGGAAATGCGGAGCGCGGTATTCCTGAAGGCCAGGACATCGACAAGTTCGTCGACGTGATTCAGCGCCGTCGACCAGACGTGATTGGTGTCTCTGGCTTCTCGGTCGAGACACGCAAACTGTACAAGGACCTTCAGGAAATCATCGGCCAGCGAGGCCTGACTGGCCCAGCCTACGAGGACGAGGACACCGGTGAAGAGAGGAACGAGCCACTGGAGGTGATCTTGGTCAACGATGAGGTCGCTCGTCTCTATCATACGAGTGGTCGGGCTATCGCCGAGTTCCCCAAGTATCCCGCGCTCACGAGGTACTGTGTTGCTCTCGGACGGTACCTGCAAAATCCATTGGCGGAATACGCATCACTCGGCAAAGATATCGTTTCGATACCCTTCATCCCCAACCAAACCTTGATACCACAAGAGAAGCTCCTGGACCGACTAGAGACCGCGATGGTGGATATGGTCAACCTCGTGGGTATCGACCTACCGGAGACGTACGACGACAAATACCTCTCAAAGTTGATTCCTTACGTGTGTGGTCTGGGTCCTCGTAAGGCCGATCGCTTGATCAAGGCCATTCAGGCCAACAGCGATGAGATTCTGTCACGATTCGATCTCCTTGGTGTGTCTGAGTCTAGGGACCTCAAGGCAGCCATGGGTCCCAAAGTCTTCCAGAATTGCGCCAGTTTCCTTTACATCCCCTACGATTCAACGGAAGAGTCCTCCGACTACTTGGACTACACCCGTGTACATCCAGAAGACTACGATCTTGCCAGGAAGATGGTCGCTGACGCCCTTAACATGGACGAAGAGGATGTTAAGGCCGAGACTGACGAAGGTGGACCCAGTGCCGTTGTCAGGAAGATGGTGCGGGAAGAGACTACCGATCTGGTCAACGACCTTGCACTGGAAGACTATGCGGCGGAGATTGAACGCAACTTTGGACAGCGTAAGCGTGCAACGCTCGAGACTATTCGCGCTGAGCTCGACAATCCTTACGAGGAGATCCGACAGATCTTTGCGCTGCTATCTGGTGCTGAGCTGTTCACGATGTTGACTGGTGAGACCGAGGAGACTCTCTATGAGGGTATGGTCGTACCCGTTACCATCAGGCGAACATTCCCAGACCACATCGAGGTCAAGCTGGAATGCGGCATCGAAGGTGGCGTCTCTGAATCAGAGTTCCCAGAGGGTGTTGGCAGTGGCGGTCAAGAACCTCGCCACGTCTACCAGAGCCATCAGATCGTGCGCGCACGTATCGTTTACCTCAACCGCAAGGCTCTCACTGCACAACTGTCGCTCCGAGATGATCTCATTCGAGCGCCAGAGAAGAAGCCCTATAATCGCGCAGCTGGTGAGTGGGATGACGCACAGGAAGCTCAGGACAAGAAGGCTGCCGAGAAGGAGAAGGAAGTTGCCTCTGGTCGGCCCAACCGTGTCGTCAACCACCCTCTCTTCTTCGCCTTCAACACCATGCAAGCCGAAGAGTACCTCGGTGGTAAGGAGACCGGTGACTTGGTCATTCGTCCATCCTCGAAGGGTTTCGACCATCTAGTCGTCACATGGAAAGTATCTAACAACGCATACCAACATCTCGACGTTCTCGAGATGAACAAGGCAAACCAATTTTCGCTCGGAAAGCAGCTCAAGATTGGAAAGCACACATACTCCGATCTCGACGAGTTGATCGTCAACCACGTCGAGGCTATGGCACGCAAGGTCACAGAGATTACACGAGACGAGCGATTCCAACCTGGCACACGAGAAGATACTGGTAAGTTTATCGCATCACCCACCTCTCATCCTTGAGACACAAGCTAATCCCCTTACAGAGAAATGGCTAGAGAACTACTGCGAAGCCAACCCTTCACGCTCCATGTACGCCTTCTGCAGTATGCCCAAGTACCCCGGCCACTTCTGGATCTGCTTCCAGATGAGCGCCCGCGGACCCAAGGGAGCCTGGGGCATCAAGGTCGTCCCCAACGCATTCGAACTCCACAAGAACGTTTACCCCGATATGCTGGCGCTCAAGAACGGCTTCAAGCTGTTGATCAGCACGGCTAGCAAAGCGCAACCCAGGCGCTGAAGGAACAAAAGGATTCGTTGGCAGTCTTATTCCCGGGTCGCGACGGAATTCGGGGTCTTGGAGCGCTCCGAGAACGTGTATTGGTAGTTTTTTTGGCTCGCGGCTCTCATTTTTGTCTTCGTTCTCTTCACATCAGTCATCTTGGGATCATTGCATAGCCTTACTTTGAAAAGGGCTACTAAAAGAATTACTACTCATAATACGGCGCTCTTTGGGAGGCTTCCCAATGTGTAGAGATATCATAAATTGGCATTTTGTTCTTCCTATACCCCCGCGATAACATTGATGGGTATTGATGACTTGACGACTTGGTATAAAGCCGCACCGATCTTTGCCTCCATTGCGTGAGACTATTCTAAAGTTGCACTTCCAATGATGAAGGGTTCTGTGTCACTTCCGAGATCGACAAAAGATCGTATGACGATGTAACCCAACTTGTGTGTCGCAAATGGAACACAACAGATCTCTCGACCTATCGTCTTCGCTAACATTTGTTCGACCCGATCATGAAACTCTGTACGTCGTGGTATGTATCACACCAAGCCCATCTCCTGCTTATAAAAAGACACCTCACGCCCCCTCGCGCCATCTTGAACGAAGATGCTCGTTTGTTATTGATAACTCGATCCAATGGCCACGAGAGACGACTCAGCAGATATTGAAGCTCTGAACATTGGCGATGCCTCAAGCATACCGAATAAAGAGGTCAAGAAGCCTCCTTTTACACCCCCGACACCCGGTGAAGTACCCACAGACCCACTCCATGATGTGATCGTAGGGTATCCCAAACTTGCAGGTCGCATGGGCGTCATGCCCGAGATGGCTATGTTCAAACGTTTCGGCTCACTTAATGCTCGAAATCTATTGTACATGCAGAATGAACTCATGTATCTGGAGATGCAATTGAAATACATCGAAGCCAAAGATCAGGCGTCGGACGATGGAAACAAGGGCTTGTACGGATATAACTTCTTCTGGATGAAACACTCAGAGTCAGACGAGAAAGGCAATGAGCAGATAAAGCTGGTCATGAGGATGCGGAAACTACTCAAAGAATATAGTAAGCTTCAGCGAACTTGTCCATTTCAGCCGTTCCGTAATGCTTATATTTTTAGACAAAGCGCTCATCCAACAGAGTACCATTGCGCAGATGAAACCTCCCGACCATTTTGATATCGGATACATACAGAATTTCCTGTCAAGCGTTCACATGGAAGAGAAGTTGTGCGGACTCGACTACGGCGTTTGGGGCACGATTCACCACCCGCATTCCTGGGATAGAGAACTCGTCTGCCTTCGACCGCGGCAGGACATAGATAAGTTCTCACGGTGGATTGGAAGTCGCGCAATTCATTGGGTGTTCAGATTGGGCGGTAGGTGGTTGAAGAAAGATCCAAGGGTTGGTACCGTGGCTGTGCAGCATCGGTCGGTGTTTACGTTCACGATGTGGCTCACAACTGCGATAGCCTCTGCTCTGCCCGTGATATCTATCATCATTCTGGTCAATATGGAGAGCACTACGGGCAGGTTGGCTGTGATTGCGGGCTTCAACTTCATCATCTCGGTCTGCCTGGTTTTGTTCTCGGAAGCCAGAAGAACAGACGTTTTCGCTGTGACCGCAGCGTAAGTCCACAAGTCATTTTTGAAGCCACTGTGCTGACCTATCATAGTTTTGCCGCAGTTCAAGTTGTCTTCGTCGGCCAGGCGCTTGACAGAGGACCACAAGAAGTGAAGATCGTTTCACAACATGGTCTAAGATGTGATTGCTAGGTTGTTTAGCAATTCAATTACAATGAAGCATGGTTTCTCAGACTATGCATTGCTAAAGGAATCATAAACATACGTCTTAATAAGACACGTAACACGTGAAAATGAAATCTTCTAGTACCTTGTTCGGTGGGCGTAGATATCGTATTCCAGGATAAATACCAAGCTGTGCTACTCTAGCAATGAGATGACAAAGTGATGATGATAGATAGACCCAAGAATACCATAAGAATTTCTATGTCTAAGCTAGCCTCTGAGTTAGTGTGCCAACTAGCAATCCGTATCAATCTAGCAGTACGCGATCACAGTCAATGCTACTGGTTAGAAGGCGAATGTACCAATGTATTGTTCATCCCCGAACGAGTCGATACGGTCTACAGGAGTTGCGAGCCGTCTAGTATTGATTGAATAGTGCTGTGTAAGTGTACCGTCAATGCATACATCAGTACTTAGAAGCTCTTTTCCCTCGTCGATCTTGCTATGTCTCATGGAACATCTGCACCTTTCTCGATCTTTCGTCCAAATGAGTCCACGAAACGATCTTGCGTCTCTTGAGATAGGGAAGCTCCATCGCAGAAAGCTGTCAGTTGGGTATGGCGGCGCTTCCTTCCAAAGTTCCTACCGCTAAAGCGGTGAAGAACGTACTCAGGGTTGAGCTTCACTTACGTTGTATTCGAAAGCGGGGCTCTCCATTATCTAGACACCGAAAGTCGGCTTCACGTCGCCGTTGATCGTAAGGTAAAGGTGAGAGATGCTCTCAAGGTGAAGGTGAGTTCGTCAGTGATGTATCGGCTTCGTCGACGCCAGCGAGTTCCAGTAAATCCTCCTCTCTACTCTCACATTTCTATCTATAAACTAAATCCGACATGGCGACACCTTCTGGAAATGCCGGTTCTTTCCTTCCAGCTCCAAATACAACCGGTAAGTACTAAGAGCCTTGCCTCATAGTGATCTTGTGTAATAGACAGAGCTAACATTGTGGATTTAGGAAATCATCATGGCCAGAATCAAACTTCAGCCGCAGGTGTAGATGTAGGCCTCCGATTTGTTCGCCTCATCACGAGTATTAGACGCTGATCTATCATCAGGCTGCCAATGTGCAAAACACGCTTCGTATGGAGCCCTTGGACCGTCGTACTGGCGGCGGTCATAGTAGCCCTAAAGACAAGAACTGTGGTATGTGTGGCAACTACGCGAGTTAACCATCAAATATACTGACGGAGTGATAGGATGCTGTGTAGCCATGTAGTGGGAAGCGCTGCCAGACCAAGGTGGAATGGTTGGAGATGGAGATGGAGAAGTTGGAGGTATGAGGGGTGTATTTACTGGATTACTAGGGTTTCGGTACTAGATGAAGATGGGATTCTGAAAATATGCAGTTCAATACCAGTGATCCGCTGTAGCACTCTTGCAATCCTACAAACCTTTACATAGCATTCTCTTTGGCGATAGACCCTGGAAATATCCCCCGTGAATGCTAGTATGTAGAGCGAATAATTGTGGCATATCTTGATGGAATCAGGGTGCTTTCACCAGCTTGCCGTAAGCACTGTGGGACGGCTTTTCTCCTGGAGGCTTGTAATGCTTCCAATCAGAGGGCGACGTCCCTGTAGTGGTACCGCAGAAGCATTTGCAGCCCGATTGTTCTTCAAGCAGCAGCTTTGCGCGCCTCGACGGCCTTCTCATACACCTTGAGGTCGACGTTGCCAGCGTTCCAGACGGTGACAGCTTGTACGAAGACACCTTTCTCCTTCCTGCGCTCAACATAGCCGATGACATTGAGCCATGTCCCCACGTCTACGTTGAGTTCCTTAATTCGCTCGAGCACATGCTCGATATCGAGATTCGCGATGACGGGCGGATCAGACATCGGATAGTTGTGCTTGAGCCGCAGTGTCGCGGTCTTAGTGACGTACTCATCGATGCTGCGGCGCAGTCAGTCTCTGTGGCAGCTATGGCTTTCACTCCAAGTACCAGCCCAGAAAGCGGACTTTGGTGCCCTGCGCACATGCGGGCAAGTCACTTAACAACACCAGACTCGAAGCAACGGGACCAGACATTGTGGTTGGAGGAGGGCGCGCAGAATGCGGTGGAAACTAGAGCCGCGGCCGAAGTGCACGGATGCACGTGCCATGGTTAGCGCAGACGACATCATACCCTCGTGCATCCAGGCCCGATTCATGACCAGCCAGGCACCCTTCAATCACGACCACGCCGCCGCTGCAACAACTCAACCCTCTGCGCAACGCTCGCACCTACCGTACTTCTAACATCTCCCGCATTCCCACAAAGTACGTTCGAGCCACCCACCATCCCCGCAGCCCCGCCATCCCACTCTCTGATAGGCTCCGAGTCTCCTGCATCGGCGCCCGATAGGACCATACGACCGACGGTTGCTAACTAGAACCCTCAGGACAACTTCAATATGAGCGGCTGGGGCCTGGGCTGGTTTGGCGGTGGCCAGGCGAAGAAGGAGGCGCCAAAGAAGGCCATCCTCCAGCTTCGAGGCCAACTTGAGATGCTGAACAAGAGAGAGAAGCACCTGCAAAACCAGATGGATGAGCAAGATGCGCTCGCACGGAAATTCGTCTCTTCCAACAAGCAAGGTACATCCAGCTGGATTAGGCTTCCTGGCACGTTCGCTAACGCCTATTGCAGCCGCGAAATCAGCGTTACGGCGAAAGAAGCAGTTCGAGCACTCACTCGAGCAGACGAGCGCACAGATTATGACCCTAGAAAAAGAGATCTACTCCATCGAGACGGCCAACATCAACAAGGAGACGATGGAAGCTATGAAGAGCGCAGGAAAGGCCATGAAGGAGATACACGCCGGCCTGACCATCGACAAAGTCGACAACGTCATGTACGTCCCCTGCACAACCAAATACCCACAGACCAACTTGCTAACAAGACGCGCAGGGAGGACCTGCGCGAACAACACGCAATCGGCGAAGAAATCAGCGAAGCCATCACCTCAGGCGTCGGCGCAAACGGCATCGACGAAGACGAGCTGGACGAAGAGCTCGCCGAGCTACAACAAGAGAAGCTCGACGAGCAAATGCTCAACACAGGCAACGTGCCCATCCACGACGCCCCCTCGTCACAGAAGCTACCGCAAGCGCCGAATACCAACATCAAGGCCCCGCAGCGGGTCGAGGAGGACGACGAAGAGGAGGAGCTGCGGAAGCTGCAGGCCGAGATGGCCATGTAAGCGCGCGTGCGGCGACGGCTCACACTATCGCTGTGTCATGCGAGCATAGCGACTGCGGGAAGCTGGGACGGTTTTCAGGCGTACGGCGATATCAGCAGAAGCGGCATCTTGGGCTTTAGCTCCTTCTTTCCTATATATAATCGCAGCATTTGGGTCTTGGATTTTGTGAAGAGGCACTTGCTCTACCTATGAGATAAGGTGGGATATATCTTGCAATCATACTCTACATTTGGAAATTCTGACTTACAAACTTGCTGTGCTTTTCTGGAGGCTATCAATCTGAGTTCTCAGCATGCCGCGGCCTCTGGGAGGACACCGTCAGGCAACTACTCATTTCAGATTAGGCATCGACACATGACAGAATGGACTCCTGAACGCGCGTCAAAGTCGAGATGGGGCATCTTCAGGCTGCTGTCGAAACACTAAAGACTAACTCAGTCAGGCAGTTTAACACCAGGACTCTACACATCACACAATGAGAGCAAAGACATATACGCGTATATACATATTTGATTTTTTGAAACGACCCGATACCGTCGTCGTTACTGCACTATCATCTATCTACTCGAAACAGTCATGTATACCATAACGCATATATCCCATATCGACGTAAAAAAAGACTTACGCGACGAAAAAATCCACTTTTGATAAACCCATGAACCCCCAACCAAGCTACGCTGTTCAAGGGTATCATAATCAATGAGTTGGGAGGGGCAAGCCAAAATGCTTGCCGCTTAAGAACGCCGAATGTCAAATGTTAAGGTCCATAAAGAGCTTGGAACGCGGATCAGATGGGGGAAGAGATGAACGACGCGCACATACTGCAGTCGGGCGACGAATGCAGTAATAGTGGACGGAATGTTTGTCAAAGAGCAAAGGACCAGAACATGGAACACTACTCAGTCTTCTTGGGTGCGTCTTGGCTCTCCTCTGGCTTCTTCGCTTCGTCCGCGTCTGGTGTGTTGTCTGCGGTCAACTCGGTCATTGGACGCCGCATCGGGGTACCCGTTTGAACTGCTGGTGACCCAGGAACTGGCGTGATCGGCTCGACGCTCGGGCGATGCGAAGGCATAGCGGCTACGGGAGGCGCTGGTGCCGCAGTTGATGGTGTAGCGGCCGTAGGCGTAGATGGTGATGCACCGGTCATATTTGGCGTAAATTTGTGCGGTTCGCTATTCTCGCGTAGCGGAGCTGGAGACGCACTGCCTGTCGGATGTGCAGCTTGGGGCGGAGGCTGGTATTGCTGAGACACAGTGTTCGCGGCAGCACCCGCAGCAGCAAAGGCTGCCGCAGTACTTGCTTCGTCTTCATCCTTGACATCAGGTGCCCTTTTGACGTACTTGTTGATGCTCTCGACTCCGCAAATGGATATGAGCAACTTACGCTCAGGTTCCGTCAAAGTCGACTCAGGTACAGTCCTGTCCACGCAAGCTCTAATCGCGTTGTCCACCTTCTTTTGCTCTTCGGGGCCTAGGCACTGCTCAAGATAAGTCTTCCTATAGGCTTCAAGCTGACGAATGAGTTCCGGATGAACCCCGATTGGGTAACGTCCAGACGGATGAGGCGCCGCAATATCATTTGTCGAACCTTGACGCGAGGGTGGCTGAGGCGGGGGCGGGCCGTAAGGTGATGCCGAAGATTGCGGCTGCGACGCCGAAGGAGCATTCGACTGCTGGCCCTGTGGGGGATATGCCGCATAGGGACGAGGCGGTGCAGGACCATACGGGCTGGCGCCGGCATTGGCATATGGCCCACCGTAAGGGCTCGGTGCCGAGGGTCCGCTGTACGGCGACTGTTGTGGGGCGGCCGTGGGATAGAGGACGCCATATTGACCACTTGAACCAGCTGCTGAAGATGCTGGTGGAGCCTGCGGGTTAGGCTGCGGATACGGTCGTGGAGGGTTCGGGGCGGGTGGACTTCCAGCTGTATTACCACCGCCGCCCCAAGGAGAAGCGTAAGGCGAGGGATGGGGCGCGTTCTGGGGCGTGGCCGACGCAGCTGAGTTACCTTCGTTGCGAGTCATGCTGGGTGGTAAGCGAGGCTGCGAAAGGCTAGGCGGCAGTCTGGGAGGTGGCTGTGGCATCGCATGAGGCATGCCCGGGTGGTATCCGTACCCAGGCTGAGGGTACGGCTGATAGCCGTTTGGTGGTTGGTAATACGGTGGTCGCGGGGCATGGTTGAGCGGAGGACTGGCCTGCCTCTTTCTGCGCTCCTTTTCGATCGAGACTTCCGGGTTGATTCTCCAGAGGTAGCCCTTGCCCTCTTTGTCGCCTTTCATGAACGCATCATGCTGACCGAGGTTGTGACGTACACTCGATTGCCAGCCGCTGGTCGTAGTCTTGAACTTGTACCAGGGATACTTGCGCTCTATATAAGTATAGATGGATTGAAGGTTCATCTGGCCCGTCGGGGACGACGAGATTGCCTCATGAATCAAGACGACATAGTTGGCCGTGGGGCGCTGAAGCTGTTCTTCGGAGTAGTCTTCGATGCGCATCTCAGGCGAAGGAGTTCGAGGTGGTCTGATTGGTTTCGCCTGCTTGTGGAGGCCGGACAAGCCACCATCGCCCTGTTCTGTCGTCTCGATAACGGCGTCGTCTTCGCCGTCGCCAGCGTTCGATTCCTTGCGCTTGGGTGCCTTTGGCTTGCTGATCGGTATTGGGATATCAGCAGGGTCAATGCCAGCGGCTCTGGCCCTCTCAATATCCTTTGCTTGTTTGATAAGTTGCGAGCGCTGGCGCTTGGACATGATGCCGTCTTTGGGTGGTCTGCCAGGTCCTTTGCGCTTCTCGACAACATGTCCAATCAGGTTCCGTGGCAAGTTGTGCTGGATGGCCATCTCTTCGGTAATGAGGCCATCGATATCTCCTCCGGCTTCAAGTTCGCCTTCGTGTGGCTTGCGTAGTACCGGTGCAGTATCGTTCGGCGGAGGCTTGCTTGGTTGTTCGGGCTTTGGAGCCGCGGGAATGTCCTTGACGGGCTCCTCGACTGGCGTCTCAGATTTGATAGGTGCCTTCGCGGGGGTCTTGGCTGGAGCTTTGCCCTTTTCTTTGGGCTCTTTGGGTTCCTTAGGCTTCTTGGGTTCTTCAGGTACAGCCACTTCCTTCTCTTTGGGTTCCTTTGGTTCCTTCGGCTCTCTGCGCTCCTTCTGGACCTTGGGCTCCTTCGCGGACTCCCGAATCGCCTCTTTGAGCTTCGCTGTATCCTTGACTTTGAGCTTGACCTTCTTTGTTGGCGGCTCTTCAGGCGTGAGTTCGCGGTGCTGATGCTTCCTCTTGTGCGCCTTTTTGCTCTCCTTCGAAGGAGCGGGAGGCAAGTTCTTGATTTTAAGCTTGAGACTTGTCTTCTGGCGCGGTTTCGGAGCAGGCTCCTCGTAATCGTCCATTTCCTCGTCAGCGAGGCCATCGTCGTCGTCGCTGTCACTGACAGGATGGTGGTAGTAGACATGTCGTGGGTTGACGCTCTGCTGGTCTTCGCTCTCGGAGCTGATGTGCTCATCGCTTTCCAGTTGACCGTTTCCATTCTCGAAAGAGAAACTCATGGGACGTGAGCCCGACTCCTGGCGGTGGCGTTGCTGCTCCGTGAGGGCAACGTCGGGGAGGAAGAAGTGTATGTTGACAGCGCCGAGCTGCAGATGATCACCATGGTCCAAAGGTATAGTCTCTCCCCGGGGATAGAACTCGCCTTCGTGGTGCAGGCCGTTGTTGCCCAGCACTTTGATGCAGAAGTGGCCCGCGTCGAAATCGAAGAAGATCTTGGCGTGTTCTCGTGATATGCCCTTGGGTCCCAGTGAGCCTGTCTTGGCCATGATCTGCTGTGGATGTATAGGTACGAACGGACAGTCGTTCGGGTCTTCGGGGACATGGCCGTCGAACTGGGCAGGCACTTCGGGGAAGGCTTGCATGATCATGTCCTGCGGCGCGCGTTCGGCAGGCTTCTCCTCGCCTGACTCGCCCGTGGGGTGTGAATTTGAGCTGAGAGAGTGCGATGCATTGCTCTGGCGACGCTGCTGGTATTCCATGGGCATCGACTCGATGGGGGCGCTGAGAATGCCACCCTTCTCGGAGATGACACTGCGAGCACCACGCCGATCGCCTTTCTTCTTCTTCTTTTTGTCCTTCTTTCCGTTGACCTCATCCAAGCCATGCAGGTGTTCGTTGGCGGCCTTGACGTGACCCTTCTTGTGTAGTGCCTCGGCCTTGATGAGGCGCTTCATGTCTCTATGCGCGAGATCGAGGTTGCGGCCCAGGGTGATCTGGTAGGTGTGCATGTAGTAGGAGCCGTCATCGAAGCGCAGACGCGCAAAGGCTGTGAGGCGCTCGTTGGTGGTGGTGGGCGGCATCATGCCGAAGGACTCCATGGGTGGATAGGCGGAATTCATGTCCATGGGCATGCCGCTCATGTCGGCGCCATTTAGGTTGTTGGACTGCGCGAAGTCGATGGGGGTGTCGAGAAGGCGCAGTCCGTTGGTGAGGGTGTTGTTCATCAGGTCGTGGCTGGCCGGTGGATTCTCGCCGCCGAGGGCAGGCATGGCCGACGCATCGCTGGTCGCGGCTGCCATGTCGGGAATGCGCTTGTCGGGAGCAGGCGAGGCAAGGGCGTCGGGGGTGTCATATTGGGGGCTGACATGGTGTAGAAGCTCGTTGGAAGGGGCTACGGCCATACTGCCGCCGCCATCTTCGTTGGGAAATGCGTAGTTGTAGGTGGAAGGGTACTGGAAGAAGTTCACGGAATGGAGGTCAAAGATGCCGTCCTCTGCACATGGTTAGCGGCGCGCTTCTTTTTCGCCCAGCAAACCGCGTCGCGGTGTCGCGCAATACATACGAGGGAAGCAATCGTTGGAGGGCGCGACAAAGCTGTAGCTGAATGCGTCCGCCGATAGGAAAGGGTCTGCGTCGTGCTGTCGCAGCGGGTTGGTGTCTTCGGAGGATGTCGGTCGAGGCTGCCCATGAGAGGCTTGCGCCGGGCCTAATCCTGCTGCACGTGGGTCTTGGCCGCCCATCTCCGCATCAAGGTCCGACGGCGCCGATGCGAAAGATGAACTCAACTCTCGAGCCCGTTCCATTGATAGCTCCTCGAAATATTCTTCAAAACTGAAAGACGAGTGTCGCGATATCGGCAGATCGTCTGCTGTCTCACCTGGTGAATCCATTGTCAGTACATTTGCTCTGGGTACAGCAAGAGCGGGCGGTAGCGGTAGCGGTGCAGGCAATAGCAAGGCGAGGATAGAGTGCACAAGAAGGGCGAGGGCACCTCTACAAGAACGACGGGAGCCTCAGATCAGGTCATCAAAGGTGAGCCCGTTCCGGCACATTTGGCCGTCACTTTTTGGTAGGGAAAGAGCCAAGCACTGAAAGTTTCCACCCAGAACCGCGACCCAGGCCAATCGCAGGACCCTTAAAGCAACCCATACGTGTGAATTACCTGCCAGTCCCACCCCTGAGGCCCTGGAGGACTTGACAGTGATATGCCCCCCAAGAAGAGAGCCCAACAAGGCGCGCCTGCCAGGCCGGCGGCGTCATCTGAACCAGCGAGACAACCCCCGAACTGGCCTCCCCTCGCTCCGCTCGTACCAGAAGAGGACCTTGCCCTGCACGAAGTGCTTCCAAAGCAGATTGTAACCATTCCTAACTTCTTCACGGCTTCGCTATGCAAAACCTACGTGTCTTTCCTCTCCTCGTTGCCATTGACGACAACGCCTGGAAAACCGAAGAAAGGCGATGCGGTGAGAGTCAACGACCGCTATCAAATAGATGACCCTGCGTTCGCTGAGCGACTATGGAACGACACAGGACTAGGGAGGCTAGTCACCGCCGATGCGGAGGAAGGGGCGCTCGGCCTCACTGAAGCGCAGCGGAAAGAGCTGTGGGGCGGCGAGGTGGTGGGCCTCAATCCCAACATCCGTGTCTATCGGTACTCCAAAGGCCAGTTCTTCGACCAGCACTGTACGTCATGACTACTTGGTCACTCTGCCCAACTCATCGGACGGTCGTGACGAAACCCATGCTAATGGAGCCAGATGACAATTCCAACAACGTGACCATTCAGGCTCCTGCATCACCGGCTGTATCAACGCGCACCACCTGGACCTTGTTGATTTACCTCACCTCACCGGCCACGGGATGCATCGGTGGAGAGACTGTCTTCTACCCGGACCCGCCTAAGAAGAAGAGCCGAGACCCTCCACCTGAGCCTTTCGTTGTCGACCTTGAAGTCGGCCTCGCGCTGCTGCATCGACACGGCCCCGACTGCATGCTGCACGAAGGCCGCGAGGTAACGAACGGAGAGAAATGGGTCATCAGAAGCGATCTATGTGTCAAGCGTTGAGTCCACATGGCTCTCCGGTACCGCGATTCGTGGTCGCTTCTTCTTTCTCCATTTGTGAACACCAACATTCACTTTTGGAAATCGACGACCACCTATGCGTGAATAAGCCATACTTACGAGGCTGCGTATATTCTGCCGAAGTCTGTCGCGTCGTGTCCTGCTGCAGCGTGTGGCTGTGTATCTTGCGTACTCACTTGCAGATGCGATTAGGGTATCCTTCTTTTGCAGACTACGCTGCAGTCCTGCATTCCATATCTCTAAAACGTAAGAGATCGGAATATCAGGTCAAAATGTCTCTTAGAGAGCACGACGGGTGCACGCATGTAGGTGTAGCACAGCGGGAATGGTATGGCTATCGGTAATCCTGTCGTACACCAGCGCCGTGCAGTCGACGAAAGTGGTGGTAAATACTTACCGTGAAGTCGTACAAGACATGACATGGCTACAGCTGTCACACCATGCGGCAGGAGTTTGAACGAAGTACAACCGTGGTTCCAGTTATCGTCTGGTTCGCTTTCCATGTGTGGTATTCGCAACCTGGCATATTTCACACCCCCACAGTAGCTTACCGCACATTCCAATATTGCAGAACACCCCTTTTTTGTCTTCAGGCGCTTCACCAACCTCCTCGATACAATCTCTTTTGTTTCCTGGCTCTTCAAGCTTTCGCTGCTCATAAGACGGTCCCTTAGCAACGTCTTTACATCCTCTACTCGTGTACTTCGACACAAATAAACGAGCCGGCTCCTCTCGATCCATATCGACATCTTCATCGCGGCTGATACGCTCAGCAAGCTTCCACGGGGGCTCGAGATACGAACAGAGTGGCGACGGCGCGTTCTAAAGCACGAAAGCCAACGTCGGCTGCAGTTAACAAAATACGAATGTTCATGCTCGATGTTTGGATTGGGTTTCAGCCTATCCTCGCTTGAGGCGGAAGACGAGATGGCCTCATACTCTTGGCGATTCATCGTCGGTTTCATCTCGGCGCTTTAACGCAACAAGGATTAGCTTACGGACACGCCCTTCCAACATCCCGTTTCATCGCCCTCGACTCACGCCTAAGACTTCCGATTGAGCTATCGCCGGCGTCTACAATGAGTGGGGAGGGTGGACGCCGCCAGGAACGACAGCCTCGACGTTTCGGTGTGGGCCGGCACGTTTGACATGCGAGTACATCTGTACGGAGGCCGCTGCTGCCTTTGGCTCTCCAGCTGCGCTCACTTCCGTTTCTAATATCAAATTCCACGACTGACCTGGTGTCACTTATTCTATCGATCGACATGATGGAGCCACAACACCATTACGCAGATGTACACTCACAGGACCATCACCACGATGACGACTCGTCGACAGAGGTCGAATCCTTAGTTGGAGGAGAGAAGCAATGGGCAGCTGGCGACTATCACAGAAGAGCACCATCATCACGAAGGAATATATTATGCCCACCGCTAGTGGCGGCGATGCGATGGGTGCTGGTGATAGGACTACAACTCGTAATCATTGGGCTCTTGGCTAGAGACCAAGGCATGCTCGATTCCACAAGATGGAAGGCTCGATCAACAAGCGCAAACGATGTTGGCGGCGACATCACCGGGTGGTCACCACATAGTAAGACTTACCGTACAGCCCAGGCCCGTACATCGACTAACCTAAATGCAGTTCCTACGCAGATCACCAAGTTCGAGATTAATCAGACATTCGCGCCATACAACACATCAGAGTTCTTCAAACCAGAAGTACTTAGAGCATGGAACGAGCTGTTACCTGGTATGCCTTTCTCTGGCTTCACTCTATCGTGAATGCTCACTAACAACTACCACAGTCGGCATGGGCTTCCAAAGCATCCCCGATCCAGAGAACTACCACGACCTACCCACCCCCATCGTCTGGCCCAACGCCACTGTCTTCACGACATCAATGACCCATCAGCTTCACTGTCTATACGCTGTCGTCGCCGTCTACTCTGGCATGACATCCGGCCACGAGCTTGAGGAAGACCACCACTGGCACATGATCCATTGCTTCGACTACATGCGCCAAGCTATCATGTGCAGCGCAGATATGGCTCTCGAGGGATTGGAGACAACGTTCCCTGATCACAACGGTGGCAGCGATGGATGGGATAGTAAGCATGTCTGCAAGGACCCCAAGATGGTTAGGGAACGGCTGGAGAGTGTGAGGGCGTATGACGACCAAGAGATCTTTTGAACGGGTCGTACGTCAGCACACGTTAATGGCCATGTTGTTGTTGATGGATTGTTGAGTTGACCATGCATCGCAACAGTCCATCATCAGACAAGATCTTTATAACTTCATATATAATTTACACTTTCTTGTACAAGCCGCCGAGATCCGAACATCGCTGTGATACCCGCCAACATCTCGAAAGCCTGACCATGAACCCATTGGATCACGCGACTGGTCCCTAAACACGTCCGACCCACGCAGGGCAGGAAGTGAAAGAGATGATATATCCCACATCAGAACGCGAAAGTAGTGGATTTGCCCATCTTCCGGGAGGTACCTGCGACATTTTCAGCCTCCAGACAATGTATAACAGCTCACCCTGGAGGTCCTTACTGTTTCCCACAAGAGCCCACGAATCTCCACCGAGCACTAAGTTACATCACGCCTACATATACTCGATCACTTCACATAATACTACATCGATGTATTCCTCAACACTAGCATGATAATACCCATTTTCATTGATCCATATACGAACTTTGCTTTAGCTAATAGACTCGGAAGAGAGTTGTTGGTCCCGTTGTTGTACATTGACTAATGTCGGGAGTCTGTGTGCGTCAATGTGATCGTGTCTCTATTAGATCATACGTACTCTTCAAGTCAGGTGTGGCATCAGTGAGCAGGCACGACATCCGTAGGCTAGGAGGTAGTCAAGTCGATTTATATATAGAGGCTATTAGCTAGAGGGGTGTTGTAGATACCCGAGCTCTTCTATTTGTCTGGTATTATAGGTTGAGAAAGCTATGTCCTCTGCAACCTCAATCTTGGTACATGGTTTGCTCCTTTGTATCAGTACTTTCCACTTCCACAGCCCTTCCTCCTACACGTCTTCTCGAGACCGCTTGTCTAGTGTTGCAATGATGCTCAGGACCTGCACCGCCGCGAATCTACATCGGCATTAGTTAGCATTATAGACGCGATGGCGATATCGATACTACTTACGCAGCAGTAATGGCGAAGACATCAGCCCTCCGTGCACGAGTGAAGTACATCAAGCAAACTGAAGTAAGAACATTCGACGCTGCAATAACCACCAGCTGTTCATCGAGAGACTTGGTGTTCGCGAGTACAAAGATCGGGCCAACG